CGGAACGGGGCCGCGTGTCCCCGCGCCGTCCCTGCCCATCCCACGGCGAGCGAGCGCTCCTCGGGACCGGGCTGCCGGTCCCAGGTGTGCTCTTGCAGGTAGAAGGGAAAGAAAATTAGGGCTGATTCCTCAACGCGTCCTCTCTTTCAGCTTGGATTGTCAAATATTTCTTTCTTGTTATTTCTGTTACTGCTAAGGAGGAGAGCGCAGTGTCCTTTGCCCTTCAACGTTTTAATTGACCTCAACCTCTTCTGTTCCTCTTCTTCCTGGATTAATGATTATTGAATCTTTGTCAGTCTCTGCCTCATTTAATGCATACAGCCTAGACTAAAGGCATCTCTGCTGGAGGTCTTCAAACAAGGTTAACTCTCTCCATTCACTACAGGGGGAATTCAGCACTTTCTTCAGAGAACCTCCTCCTGGAGGTACAGATTAGGGGTCTGGATCCTAATGAGAGAAATACAGACATTTTTCCTTCAATAATTATGAAACTGCTCCCTAAATATCCCTGGCTATGGCTCTGCACAAGCCTCAGGAATGGACCACAACTTTACTAAGTTGTGTTGGAAGAGTCGTGTGAAGAAAGGATACAATTTTTTTCACTCAATACCACCTGTAGCTTTGTTTCAAACCTCTCTGCTGTGTGAAGAAGCAGATGCACAACTCTCCACATGTTCACCCCTTACAGGACAGTTTTTCTCCTGATTGCACTTCCTCACAGAGTGCCATGTTGCCTGAGCCGCTTTTCATGTGTGCATCATGCAAAGTTGTATTAGCTCTGAGGTTCTCTATTTGCCTTTATATTCCTAAGTCTCAGCTCAGTAGTAACAATGGGACCAGATGACCTCTGTCCACTTCTTTTTAAATCTTGTGGAAAAACATTTGACACAATTCCCTGGCATGTTTTAAAGCACATGGGATTTCCATCTGCTCTATGAGCCAAGTTCATATCTGCTTAGCTTCCAGAGCCAGCTAGGCTTGGATGTGACCAGTTCAGCATTGAGCTCCTTTAGCTCTGATGACTGAAAACTCCTGTCTGCACAAGACACTCAACTCCTATTTTCCAGCCTGTGTAGGCTGTGTGTTGACAGCGCTGAACAGTGACATCCTGTAGATGAACACTTCAAAATGCTATGGGTATGTTGAAAATAATACAAATTTTCCAGAAAATGCAACATTTAATTTTTATTTCTATCTAAATATTTCCAGATTACTCTTCAGCAGTTTATATCTGCTTAAAAGATTGATGATTCCTTGCTAACAATATCAACAATATTAACAAAAATATACAATTCATAATCTCTGTATTACAACACTATTTTCAATGTTAGTAAAAAGAAGCTCAATTTATGTGATAGCATATTCTATCCAAACAGTTATTAATTTCTAACACATGCCACTGAAAAATCCCATCTGAAGTTAGCACCTTGTAAAACGAAAAAGAGAAAACTATGAAACAATATATTATAATTCTGATTCATTTTGATGTAGACAAATATATCCTGTTAGTTATTATGAAAGCTGCATTTGCAAATTCCTAAACCTCTTAATGAAAGTAAGTGTCTTTTTAACTATACTGAAAACCCAGCAAACCTCTGCTTATTGCCCTGGAAGTCAGGGAGAAATTTAAATAGACATAGTCTCATTTTAGTGCAGCAAGATTAATACATCCAGGATCACTTGTGGTAATTGGTGGTGAAGTGATGATATTATGCTCCTAAATTGCTACAGAGGATTAATTAAATATTTTTTATTTAATATTAAAACAGACAAAGCCCCAAGAATGGAATTAGCTATAACTCAGTTGAAGTGAGACTTTCAGTTGGAGATTGCCGCTTGCATTTTATAGACCAGGGAGGCAGGAGTTTATCTCCAAATATCACTCCTCCTGTTTATTGTAGGTGCTTACTTTAGATAGAAGGGAATCACCCAGTGTGAGTGCCTAGTTCTCATCAGCAGTTACAGAATGCAGCCTGGATGACTAGAGGTCACCTCAATATGTAAATCTTGATAAAATGAACTCACCTGAACTGGACACCCATCAGCTACTTCACAGCAATTGGAGGTGTCCAGGATAAGACAGTTGCCAAAGGTCTTTTTTTTCCTACACTCACTGACATCTGGAAATGAAGAAGTGAGCAGCACTTCTGGAAATCACACCAGCTCTGTTTAGCTGTATAGTCCATGCTTTTAAACATTGACTAAAATACTGTATTTTCTTGTGTTTTTCTTGCAAAGTGGGAAGAACAGTATGAATTCAATACATTGATGAGGCACTATTTACACAACACCAGGAAAAAAGATACCCATGCTCAATTAAAATAAATTAATTACATCTTTTTCTCAAAGTCACATAAATATGGACTGGCCCACAAGAAATGCAAACAGTGCAGCAGTTGGCAACAATTGCTTTTCTTAGACGTGATATAAAACACTTACACTAAACAGAGTTTATGAAAATGCTGAGATCAAACCCCAATCCAGATTATTTTTCAACCTGAGGGTCTTCATGCTGGAGCGCAATCGGGGACAGCAGAGATTCCTCATCCTTGCTTATACGTGGTTTAGTTTTGATGCTGGAATTGTGTGCTGAAAAATTTTTCTTCATATTCTGGTAAATCTAGAATTGGGAAAAGGAAATAAAAGATATCTTCTGTTATTACTTATTGTACTTGGAAACCTGCACTTGTCAGGTACAGCCCAGTTCTTCTTGAGAGAATCACACTCATATCTGTCTGTTTACTCCATACTGACTCCAAAGGGAGTCCAGACAACTGCCTAAGTGAGATGGATCTTATCCAGCAAAAAGAGCTGGGTTGAAGAATGACATTGGACTGTAAAGGAAGATTTTTTTTCTAGGTACAGTGGTTTGAAGTTGCTCATTAGTTCACCTTTACACTTGCCAGCTTCTGGCAGGCTAACAGCCTTCAGAGCAGCTCAGTGCTGCAAAGGCAAGAGCCATTCATAGCTCCCTACATCACAAAAGGTTTTCAAGGACACTGCACTGGGAAATAGCATGTCTAGTCCAGAATGGATACCCAGGTAGAAATCAGTAGTTTGGAAAGGAGTTGCTTATCCTCCCTGAGGAAGAGATAACAGTCTGGTATGGATGGAACAGGACTTCCTCAGATCCTGTTTATTATTTTGACCTTTGAGAATGACATATGGTACTCTCTGTGAGGACATGGCAGCACATACCTATGGTGGCCCCCCATGAGATCCCTGGCAGGTGGCCCAGGGTCAGCCCCCCTCCCATGGCAGCTATCAGCCTCACCAAAGCCAACTGCACTGCCTTCTCACAAGGAAGGCACATTCTCACAGCACAGGCTGAGAGATTTCAGCTTTCCAGAGTCCCAGTGCAGGCAGTGGGGGGAAGAAAATCCTCAG